TTTCCTGCTTATCTTATTTGTTTGGTTCTATGCTTGAAGATTGGACCAAAACAGCAGTGATACGTACATTGATAGGTACGACCTCCATGCCCAATGTGTGTAGGTATATTTATTCTTGTGTCGTGGGAGCTTGGCATCTCCTTATGATCTGATACTGCCATTGTTGCGATCTCTCCCCTCCCCCAAACAAAAAGTTGAGTCCAAAGCACCAGAAAAATCGCTTAATACTATAACCGCATAGGCTTCTGCCTTTGAGAAAAATCGCATTTCGCTCGCTCCCGACAAGTCTGCCAAACCTCGCCCTTGGACTCCTGCTCTCTACCGAAATCGTACCGGATACTGCTGTCTCACCCGTCCCACTCGGTGCATCTCTCCTGTCCATTCTCCGCCCATCGGCGTCCATGTCTCTGCCCAGCGGCGACTCCCAGTCAACTCTCCCGGGTGCCGGGCATCAAAGTGGAACTGCCGCCGCTTCGAGCGGTGCGGCTCGGAGTAGCCCGCCGCCATTATTGATGATATGTCAGTGAAATGACTGGCCTGGTTCAAATTTGCATCCGACAGCATGACAGACGGACGGCGACGCCAGCCGGGTGGAGGATAATAAAATAGCAGCTGCGTGCGGCTCCGCTAAGCGGGATTCGAAGCGGCTTTCCCCTGCGTTCGCTGCGGACGCCGACTTGCTGTTTAATAGAGATGTCACTGGACATATTGGAAGGGGCACGGTTGGAAAATGGCGAAGCGTTGTGGGATAGAGGAACGAGGGCCGATGGTCGAGAGAGTGGGGTGAGAAAGAAAGTGTAGACAAGGGTCTATGAGTGAGTGGCAATATTAGCATGAGGGTAGCAAGTTTTGCCTACCTTCTCGCCGATTTTAAAAACACTTATTCAATGTTTCTACAAAAGAGAAACAAGACTAACGGGCCAACCTAAGAGGCAAGCGCACTGCATCACGCATGTGACGTTAACACCAAACACTGCCACATTTCCAACAACCTCAAAGGCAGATCATCTGGTACCTCAGGTACCTAAGGGGATCACCAGCAGATCACCTGGGGTACAAAGGGGGCGAAAAAATAATAAACGAGGCGTATCAAACCACAGACAATCGTCTGGCGCTCGAGCGTTCGGCGTAGTCGAAAAAGTCTCTGGCCATCACTGACGCGGCTTGTTTCATCCCAATCTTGTTATTTGCCCTCCGTTGTTGCTGACTCATCTGCCTCACGCTAATCTTCTTGGTTTTGCTGGCCAGTGACGTCTCTCAGTGTTTTGCTTCAATCAATGGCTGTTTTTCAAGTGCGTGGTATATGAAACCTAAGCTTTTAAGTGTGTTACGTTCTCAGTGAACGTGTTTTTTGCTCTTGCGCTTTGGCGGCAAGGAATAATTTAAGAAATCTAAGAAATAATCTAAGTAATAATCTCAAAAATCTTGCGGTGCAGTCAGGTTGCATTCATATATTATCACGGAGGCCACGGTGACGCTACACACGAACGGGAAGATTGTGGTAGCTATCGAATCCTTAGAATGTAAGTTAGATATGAAACTTTTACAGAAACTTTAGGTCCCTAACCATCATTGGGTTCAGCACGTGCGCTTTTCCGACCGTTCTGCAACTGAGTGACGGTGTCGTTAAGTAGACAAATAACCACACACTTCGACATCACACTTCGACATCAACTGAAGGCTGTATGACCTTAGCTGTCTGAACAGAACCCAATTGGCATACATTGCGGACAGCTGGTGACCGCGGACCTCGTTACAGTCTGAGGCGAAGTTGGTACATCAGCCTGGTGACCGCGGACCTCGTTACAGTCTGAGGCGACGTCGGTACATCAGCCTGGTGACCGCGGACCTCGTTACAGTCTGAGGCGATGTCGGTACATCAGCCTGGTGACCGCGGACCTCGTTACAGTCTGAGGCGATGTCGGTACATCAGCCTGGTGACCGCGGACCTCGTTACGGTCTGAGGCGATGTCGGTACATCAGCCTGGTGACTGCGGACCTCGTTACAGTCTGAGGCGATGTCGGTACATTAGCTGTCGGATGGCACGTCGACAGCAGTCGTGTGAACTAAATGTATGGATCATTTCCTCAGTGATGCTTGATGATCTGCGAAAGATCATAGCAATGGTGATTCGAAGCTGTGAATTTAGGGAAGCGCGAAGGGGATCAGCATATGATTTCCACGCCGGTTTTTGAATAGTTTCTTGCCATGCAAGCCCTAGTTCTGGTGCCGCTTTTTGCGAAGTTGGCGGGTGGCCTTCCCCTTGTCATTTGCCGCCCCTGCAAGCGGCAGAATGTATGCATGGGCTCATGTGGCTGATAGTCGATACCAGCAAAATTTCAAAATGTCTTCTGCGGACCACCGACCTTCACTGACCTTCTACTCAGCCTGAGCTCTTTGCTTTCCAACACCTTGCGGCTATTGACGTGGCTGTCCTGATGCTACATGTGAACTGGACACCTGCGCCCGGGCGGTTTTTGATGTTGCCGCGGACCTGTCTCGCCCGCCTCCATTAACGTCCCCGCTCTGCCTGTCCCTTACGCCTGTCCCAATCCCTGTCTCTGTCCCTGACGCCGTTCCGGCTCCCCTCCCCTTGATGACGTCATCCCGCGCACAGGCAGGCCCGCATCGCCAGTGCGACGCGCTCGCCGTTATCTCGCCACCCGGGTCTGTTCCCGACGGCGCGCCGACATGCCCCCGGGCGTCCTCAGGCGACCGAGAGGCCTCTCGAGCGCAGGAGTGGCGCCACCGTCAGCTGCCGGGCCCGCGCCGACCCACGCCCCGGCTCGGGGCCCCTTGGCGTCGGGGCCGCGCCCTGGAGCGGCCGGCCGCTCACGGCCCGCCAAACTGCTGGCGAGGCGCAACCAAATGCAATCAGGGACACCATATTCAGCAGATGGGACGGTGGACTACCGGGCAACAGCCTCAAGGCGAGGGGGCAGTCGGAGACGACAGCGGAGATAGGCTGGGGAGAGAGAGAGAGCGAGGGAAGACGGCGGGTGAGAAAGGGAGAGGAGGGGAAAGTGATAGAGAAGGGAGAAATATGAGAGGGAAGCTTATGGTCTTAGAGAGGGGGTTAACGACGAAAGGAACAGAATGAGCAAGGAAACATTGAACTAATGAAGAAGTGGGCGCGTGAGTCAGTCAGTCAGTCAGTCAGTCAGTCAGTCAGTCAGTCAGTCAGTCAGTCAGTCAGTCAGTCAGTCAGTCAGTCAGTCAGTCAGTCAGTCAGTCAGCCAGTCAGTCAGTCAGTCATCAGTCAATTAGTCAGTCAGCCCGTCAGTCAGTCAGTCAGTCAGTCGGTCAGTCAGTCGGTCAGTCAGTCAGTCAGTCAGTCAGTCAGTCAGTCAGTCAGTCAGTCAGTCAGTCAGTCAGTCAGTCAGTCAGTCAGTCAGTCAGTAGGTGTCAAAACGTGTTTGAATGGGTCGGAAGCTGTTATTTATGCACCCTGAATGAATTTTTCACTTTGTACCTCAATGTCCCTCACATTAAATGGAACATTTGGAGTCCCAAAAAAGGCCATGAAAACCAATTTCCCAAATAAGTGGGGACGAAAGTCGCCAGACATTAACTTTTTGGCTAGTTTCCGCGAATGGCCGCGGCTCACGCCACGTGCACATATCTGCACCATCGGCATCGCGCCACGCATGGTTCCATCCACGCGCTCCCACATTTGGTCGCGCCATTTTCCATCGACCTGGCGCCATTCTCGCCCGGTCCCCACTATACAGCAGTCGGGTCCTTTGCCGCGCTATCTAATCTAAATCAATAATGCACCTTGATGTTGGCTTGGGCTAAATATACGCCCTGTTTCTGCGGCCGCTTGTGATCAACAGCTGTTCCGCACGCGAACTTTTGCCCGTAGAGCAGGAGCCGCGAGTGTGACGCCGCTCGCCGGCGCCATCAAAGTTGGCCCATCGCGGCGGTGCCGAGGTGGTGACACCGTCCGGACCTGCTATCGACGCCACGCCGACCACTACTTTCATCTCGGTAACGGACGCCAACGAGCCTCTGAGGAAGCATAACGGCGCCTGCGACGCCCCTCCCCGCGCGGGGAAGTCGAAAGTCGGCCGCGACGGGAAGGGAGGAGGCGGGGAGGCGGGGAGGAGGCGGCTCTGGGCTGGGAGCAGAAGGGCGGTGTGGGCTTGGACGCCCTGTGCTGGGAGCGGAAGAAGCGTGATCTGGGGCGATGGACAGCCGTGTGAGCTGAGCGTCGGGGGAGTCGTGTCCCCGCCGGCACAGCTCCGATCGAGCTGATGAGTCAAAGTTCCATGCCGGAGCGCAGATGCCCTGAGCGAGGGAGGCTGAGAAGTGCCGGTTGAGTGTCGTGTGGAGGGCCAGGAGAAACAGAGGGGTCTTGTTAGGACTCGGGCCGAAGTGTCCTGAGCTGCAACTTGAAGTGACTCACATAGGGCTGAGCTGGATATGCTCGTAAGAGTCACTTTGGGACAATGCTCTCCACCGGGACAGAGATATCTGAACTGGACGTGCTGGCGCTTAGGTGGTGTTCGGCTTTGCGAGCATGAAAGTGGGAAAATTGATTCTGCCAAACTGGTATATCTACATCTCTGCCTACATCATCATCATCTACATTATGAACGAAGCGGATTAGAGGCGTAATATGGACAAGGTAAACCTTAGCATGAATAGAATGAATGCCAAACATGCTTTATGTGAAGCAACGAACCATTACATTGAAAATTTCAGCATATGTCTTTATACTTTATGCAATATCGTGGTCTGCATCAACTGTTTGCGTAGTCATCATCTCGTCTAAAACGCCAAGCATAAAGGTGACTAGGGTTTTCGCTGATAGCAACCTACTAGCGCCAAGCCCTGCACCTTGCCACAAACGGCTTCTCCGTTTCGGTCCCGGACTGAATAGGATGCTACAAACATTGGTGTCAACCGCCACCATTCACATGAGTCTCATCCGTGTGGGCCAGTTTGTCACATCCCTCACCTGGCTGGTGCTTTAACGCAGCGCCCTTTGTTTCAGAAGACCGGAAACTCTTTATTGGTATGCTGAGTAAGCAGCAGACCGAAGAGGACGTCAAGCAGCTGTTCCAGCCCTACGGTCTGATCGAGGAGTGCACTATACTGCGCGGAACCGACGGTGTTAGCAAAGGTCAGTGCCCTGCGGCTAACGGGCTAGTGGACGGCGACGAGACGCTGCCGCCGCACCCCAGCGCCCTCCTCAGGCGTACCGCCTCGACCTTCGCTCCTGATAACCCTCCAGCGTCGAGCCAGCACCAGCGAAACTTCACCCTCCGGAAATTTTTCCCTCCTCTGGTGACGTTTGGTTGCGGTTTATTGCGTTTTCAGATAGATACGATGGCACCTCGGGGATATGACTGCTTGCACGCTCGGTCCTGGTTACGCAGTGAGCCGCCCTGTTCGCGCGAGAGGAGCCTCCCCCTGCTGCGTTATTGACGCTTGCCAGCACGGCTCGCGGCAGCCCGCAGCCCGAGGCTCCAATGTCAGCTATTTCTCACCGAAATTAAGTGAAATCAATCATCTTGGCAGGCCTAATAACATTGAGGATTACAGCGGGGAAGAAAGGGACGACATAATTGAATTGTAATGATGTGTGCCATTCAAATGTTAAGCGATGTATATATGTTGGTGGTGGTCAGATATATGACGTTTAACCGTGTCGTGTGGTCGGACAGATCATGTTTCACTCATGAGCCGCGTTTCAAATGTTTCCTGCTCCGAAATGGCGTCTGGATAAATGATTCAAGCTACCAAAAATCCACACTCCGCCTCGAAATGTTTATTTGACCGCCAAAAATTCCACTGAGCAGGTTTGCGCAGAAAACGGCATCTGGTTTCCATGATCTTTTACTGTCATACTTTTAGTGAATGATTGCGCAGCGTGTCAAGTGTTAAAATTTACGTCATCGGTGCATACTTCATTCAAACATGGTGGTTTATCCAAACTGAAGACAGTCGCAGCCTTGGTATTGATGTTGGCTGATGGTAAACTGTAATGGTTTTTAATGCTTAAAAGCCAACTGCACATGTGCCAAAATGTGTTTCAACCAGCGTTGAAATCCGACGGTATCGTCTCTTCCGACGTTGGTTGGGCCGAGACCAATTATCCCAACTTTTCAAGATGTACGTTTGGCTTGCAGATCACAAAGTCTGGGACCTGAGATCGTGGAATTTGAGTGAACACGTTTTGACATTGACGGAAATGCAGGCACTCGAAGTAATACTCTGGCCTCCGAGACCCTTTAGGCAACAAAACTGCATTGTGCTTTTGGCATAACAGGATGGGCAGATTATAACCCTGCATGAATCTGACTCGAACTAGTTGGGTTATCGATGTAAATGCTTAATTATTGCTTGCACCCATGGCGACAGTTTCAGTTGGGACTGGCAATCATTTGTCAAATACGACTAGGACTATTTTTGCTTCCGCGTTTTTCCGCTCATTTTTTGAATATGTTTGTGTGATCTCGCTTCGTTTCACGAGTTGTCGCTGCTTTTTTATCCGTAAGTGTGGTGCCTTTCTGTGAAGGTATTAACACAAAGACTTCTGTGTGTCACTGAGAAAATTGGATGGGCTATCCTCGCTACTTGATCGTGGCTACTGGTCACAAAATCGAGGCAATGGTGTCATGTACAAGCGAACAAAGACCAGATAACCTCTTTCGTCTCCAACATCGCCCACGTTTCAGAATCCGAGCATTAAAAATGTAAAAAGTGAAAAATTAGACGTTCACCAAAAATTAAATCATGCACACCATACGGTGTAAAAAGCATGCAGTGAAAAACTCTATGCTGTCAATAAATACCATCCCTAATCTATGTTATAAATAACACCAAATCCACCATCTGGATTTTGGAGTTCAAAATCCAGTCGGGCTCAACTTTATTGCTTCACTGACATGGGCGGAACAATCACAGCCGGGTTTAAATAAACACGCGTTTGATGGCACGTTTTCATCGGGGTTGTTTTCGTGTCTCGCCATAGTAGGCATGCCGACCTTTGAGCAAAATATTAAGAACTGCCTTCGCGCCTGAAGCCTGTTGCTGGCGAGAAGCGCGATGTAGTTAACAAACTCCAGCACCCAGCTAATTAATTTCCTAGCGATAATGAAGCCAACAAACACAAAAAACCAGGTATTCTGAGGCGGCGATGAAGGGCCCAACGAAACCAATTTGTCTGCATTCCAGACAAGAAAAGACGTAGAAGAAGACATCTGCAGAATAAAGCACGGAGTTACCTAGGAAGGAAAGGAAATTCCCGCGCTGTCCGGACAGCTTTTTAACACCCGGCGTGATATCCAGATCGACAGTACGGGACAGGACAATGCTTAATCCTACCACTATATGGGGATTTTTGTTTCAATATTTTTTGGGCCCCACTTTGACTCTCCTGATTTGTCGATGTTTGCGGGCCCAATTGTGCTTTTCTATGGCTCAAAATAACCACCGGCGTAAACAGTCTTTTCGCGTGCACATTTTTATAGAACATGTCAAGGGCGCACTCGAGAAGAATAAAATGGGGTAAAATCTCATCATAATATTGATATTGATGTATGAAAATGACACGTTAGATTGCAAGCGAGATTTAAGTACGGGTGTCGCTCGTTCTCAGACACACGTACGCACGTAGGACACGGTCCCTTTGGCGCATGTTACCGCTGAAAAGGAAGAAAACAAATGTCACGCCCGTTCGTGGTTGGATTTTAAATATAGGCAAGTTGTAGGGCACCCTACGCTCATTGTCTGACACCGCATCTGTACATGCAGCTTTGCTATTTTTGGACAAAAGTTGTTACATGTGTGGGTTGGATTATTGATGCTTGTCAATAACACAGACGAATGTGGAAACGCTACTGGTATGCATTAATGATTGATTCACAATTATTCGCTGCGTTGCTCCTGGATATGCCTCTGATGGTTCACATACGTTATACAGACGCCTTGATGCAAAGGAAGATATATGATGGCCCGCCCAGCCAGGCAACGGCCGGCCATACTCAAACCACAGCGCACTACACATGCGCGGGGAAGAGTCTGCGATTTGTCCCAAGATGCCCCTCATAAATATTTACTAAAGTAGTGTGCAGCTCTCTGAAAATACTTTTTGACAACAGGGTTGGGTTTCTGGCTAACCTCACAGGAATGAGATTAACCATGTAAACATGATTCAATCGTATAGTACAAGGCAAATCACTCAGCAAAACCAAAGCCGGTGTCCCCTCCAAACCGCAAAATGAGCTTGACGACTTAAAGGTATCTCGATGTCGATTCGATATCTCGATATCGACAAGCGATGTCAGTTCAATTATTGCCGGTAACTTTGAACCCAAAGTATTTATCCGCGTAATTGATAACGTTTAAAAATACAGGGCAACGTACTTAGGCAATCGTCATATTTTGCGTTTCAAACTCATATGTAGAAGTTTTAGTTTAACGCCAAATTTCCGTGGACGATGAATTCTACCGTTCCTTCAGAAAAGGTAAACTTTTATGACACCGCAAGTGATGCAGCAGCATGCCGAGGCAGCGTCCACCAACACACATTGCTCCTGGACAACACCCTTACTAATCCGCGGCATAAAGACGAGGATGGCTTGCCTTAGGGGCTTCGTGCCACACGTTACGCTCTTCACTGATTGTAACCTGCCATTTTCCCCCATGGTGTGACGCATTTTTTCACATTTCAGCATCACGCTGGAACAGCGCACAAATCAAAATGTGCATGTGCAACACGCTAAAACGGCACCCTGCCAGGTCTTGACGCAATTCATTGCACTGTGCCGAGACTCATGCATGCAACACGCCAACATGCATGATCTGAGGCTGCCGCATTGATGAGCACAACGGAAGAGCCTATGCGCTCTGCATAGGGACTCAGGTCCCATACGACCTTTAGCCAGCTGAAGGCCACAGTTATTTCCCCGCGAGGCTGGCCGGAGTGGTCGTCTGGCGCCTAGAGTGTGACACACTGCCTCGGGGCCCACGGCTCCGGGTGCGGGCCTCAGGCCAGCCGACTGCGCTGGCAAGTCATGAGCCAAACAGAGCCATAAAGGCCAGCCTCATCAGTTTCCGTTTCAGCTCTCGTAAAGTTCTGAGAGGTAATCTCGCTGGCCCTTCTCGCAAATTTAAATATCCGGGTCGGCTGCAGAGGCGCCTCAAGTGTCCCAGGCGGCGCAGGCTCCCCTCCAAGAGCTGGCGCGGCGTGCAGGTTCGGGGTATGGGCCCTTTGAGTTGTTTGAAGACCAGAGAGACTGAAGCCTTCAAGGATACGAAGAAAAGTGAGCGCTGCTGAATCAGGATGTACGGTCATGTTTGGTTTGTTTTCGGTTCGCGGCACAACCTTGGGATCGACGCCTTATGGGGTACCTCTACTGCGCCTGTTCGACGAAGATTTGCCCCGGTCACGTGTCACAAGTCGTGAATAGCGAATTTAGAGCACAATATTTTTAAAAGTGCGGTTAAGCGCCAGTGGAAATCCAATGCAGTGCTAACGGTAGTAATATCCACTGTCAAGGAGCGACCAGGGGTGTGGTCACGCCCTGTATAACAAGCAATATGCACGGGCTGTGATGCCGAAGACGTCACACTTGAAACATTACCAATGCGTAAAAGCGCGAAACATTTTTTGAACAAGGAATACCCATCGTATTACCACAAAAGTTTCAAGCAGCGTGAGGGACCTGTGCGTTCTTGGCGGCATCTCTTGGCTGCACGGACCTCACATCATATTCAAGCGGCGTGAGGGACCTGTGCGTTCTTGACGGCATCTCTTGGCTGCATCTCTTGGCTGCATCTCTTGGCTGCATCTCTTGGCTGCGTCTCTTGGCTGCATCTCTTGGCTGCATCTCTTGGCTGCATCTCTTGGACCTCACATCATAGGTACTGTCTGGACCAATGGTGTTTCGCAAAGATGGCGTGAATGAGTCCAGGTCCCGTGGCGTGCATGGACAGGTAAACATTATTTCGGTGACCTTCAGTGGCAATGACTTCTTCAAATGAAACCATTCCTGCAGCAGGACAAAGGTGAAGGCCGTGAAGCCATTCGTTGCCTCAGAATATGGAAGGGAGATATACCTGCTCGAGCTATATTTCTGTGGGACTGATGGGGATGACAATCGGCATTTCAGTATTCATAAACAAGTACATAACAGTGGTTGTTTCCGGTGCAAAGGGAGTAAAATTAGATGGGAAAGCCTCTAAAACAAACCGCATGATTTTGAAGCTAACTTATCCTTATTCGGTGCGATAACAATCCCGATATAGATACATGTGATATGGAAATATGTGTAAATTGCCTTGTCTGAGTTGTGCGCAAATAAATGGGGGCTAGCCGTCGAAGTTGATGACGCAGCCACTTCTAGATAAACAGTGCCTAATTCATAGTTTGGCGGCAGGCCGATGAATGGCATTGGTTTTCGCAACAGCGAAATCCGCAAATTTGTACCGGGACACGTAACGGCTTTGTACCAAAATATCGCAAAACGGTGAACACGTGTGGCAGTCGTGGCCGAGTGGTTAAGGCGTTGGACTCGAAATCCAATGGGGTCTCCCCGCACAGGTTCGAATCCTGTCGGCTGCGAGGATTTTAGTAGGATAATGGTAGAGAGGTTGGCACTATCGGCCCCCACGTGGGGGAGGGGAGGAGGCGTTTACAAATCCCGGTAGAGGTGTACCGAAAAGCAGCATCATGATTTCCGTTTCTTCGTGTAAAAACTACAGATCCAGCGATTATGGAGAACTTCTTAGGACTCATGACGGATCTCCGCAGTCTAGATAAATAACCACATAAAACAGATTGTACGGTGTAGCCGCATCCAACTTCAGTCAGCCTCGTGCATCCACAAGGCACAAGTCAGCCACACAGCCCAGTAGTCCCCACAGTCGCTGGTGTGATTGTCTGTTCTTTGCTGAGTCGAAATGTCCTGATTTCCTTTCGCTATGATTCGTCATCGCCGTGATAGGTGCTGCCGGCCCCGCCCGTCACTTGGTAACTTTTGGTAATTTTTGAATTTCGCGTTTCCCATGTTAAGCCAATGGGGCACTTTCATATTGCCTACGCACCACACGTGACGGCAATCGCGGTCGTATTTTACTAAGATGTACTGGACCTTCAAACGTGCTGAGTTGATGTCCTTTGAAAATTGCAAAACGCACGAATCTTCATTATAAGATTCACACGCGCTCGGGTGGGGGTCACTTTGATCCCCAAAGTTTTTCCTGGAATGATTTCCGAACAGTGCGACTTAGTCGCATCAAAGTTTTTTAGCTGTAGAAACTGAACGGCTGGTCGTTTGGTGTCTAAAAGTTTTATGCACCTTGTAAGGTCACTGACCTACGGCAGGTCAAAGTCAGTCAATCGATTCAGCGAAGACAACTTCTATGGAATCGTTCAATCTGATGCAACAAAAGAGTGTACGACGAAGTCACACATCTATGTGATAGTTTCCTAGGCAACACGACTGTTTATTTAACAAACTTCATTGATCCAGGGCCAGGTATGGGGTCAGACTAAAGTCGAAACCCACCAGTTTTATTATCCAGAGGTTGTTGTTTGAGGTATTTTCTAGTGCTTGTTTTGAATATACTGATAGCAAGAACCGCATTATGCATCTTCCATGGACTTCTTAAAGGTCAGAATTGGTCACTGACCTAAAATGGCTGAGGTCAATATTCTGTTTTTAAGAACACACTACCTAGCGTAATCCTCGACACTCATTCAAATGCAAAAATTAAAACAGTTTTGTATGCTTTTGGTCACCATGACCTTCGAAAGTTCACACAAGATCACTGAACTTAAATGAGCACCAGTATCCTTTTGCTCAGAGCAGGCATCCAGGCTTACGGTGGTCACATGACAAGGTCTGGGGCACTTTAGACACCAATCCGAGGTGTAACCTTGTTTGACCATATTTGACCCGAAGGGCATGACAAAGAAACCTCAAATTTCAGGCTAAGGTTTCTAGGTTATGTTTCTAGGTTCAAGGGGGTTCAACTTTATTGCTTCACTGACATGGTTGGAACAGTCACAGCTAGGTTTAAATAAACACGCGTTTGATGGCACGTTTTCAACGGGATTGTTTTCGTGTCTTACCATAGTAGGTATGGAGACCTTTCAGCAAAATACTAAGAATTGCTTTCGCGCCTGAAACCTGTTGCTGGCGAGAAGCGAGGTATAGTTGACAAACTCCAGCACCCAGCTTATTAATTTCCTAGCCATAATGAAGCCAACAAACACAAAGAACCAGGTATTCTGATGCGGCAATGAAGGGCCCAACGAAGCTGCTGTGAGCTTTACCAATTCCAACATTTGTAACTCCTCATAAACTAAAAATCGCATTGTTTGTCGAGGTGGTCATTGTTGCGGATCATCCTCCTGTGGCCCTGTCCCGTGGTTTTGGCAGTTAATGAGCCTCTCTGCATGGTCATTGATAATAGTGTGTGGTTTGCGAATGCTGTTAAATGATAGCAGCAAACGTAGCGTCTGCTGAGACCCGCTGCGGACATAAATCGTTTCTAACTATGCGTTTTTATCGTCCCTTCCTCTCGTTGTCCTCTATATTTCCAACCCTCTCTCTCTCCCCACCACTCCTCTCCCTTTATTGTTTCGTCGTCTCCCGCCCTTCTCTCACCCCTTGTCTGGAACGCATCGATCCATCAGATAGCAGTTCCTTTTTGACCAGAGTCGTGAAATTCGTGGCCGCTTGGAGTGAGACTGGCAAGTTCTTGTCTGCATTTGTGCTGGCATCATTCCCCAACAGCAAATCTGGTTTCCTTCAGTCGCTCTACGCTACGCGTACTCTAACGCTGTGTCTGTTCCAGGTTGTGCTTTCGTCAAATTCGCGTCACATCAAGAGGCCCAGACCGCAATCAACAGTTTACATGGTAGTCAAACGATGCCCGTGAGTACGCGACCACCCCGGGGCGGCTGCTCATTTGTTTTCATCGGCGGACGCGACGGGCCGCGAATCCTTCCTTCCTTCGTCCCCGTTCGCCGTCGCCGCCGTTGGACCGACAAACAGAGTCGGCGACCGGGGCGCGGCGTCGGCTTCGACGGGGCGGGACGGCACACGCGCCGTCGGAGAGGCGACGGCGGCGGCGGCGGCGTCGTTACGTCGACCGTCTCGACACGGAGCCGGGCCCGACCGACGCGCGCCCGCTCATTCCGCGAAATTAGGGAGCCGAGCGGCGCCGCCGCCGCCGGGGGCCGTCGCCGAGCGCCGCCGCCGCAGAATTAACTTAGCGGATGGGGCCGGCCTCGGGAAGGCTTACAGCCGCGGGGAAGCCCCGATCGCCCCCGCGCTCGTGTCTTGGACGGGCGAGTCGCGACGCGCTGTGAAATTTGGACGGCGCTGCGCGGGAAAGCGGCCTTCTCGGCTCATCGCCGCTGCTCAGCGGGAGGGCTCTGCGGGACGGTGGCGTGCAGGGTCGCCATCGCACCGCTTGATTCTGCAGTTAACGTTACGTGTAAACGGTCATGCTCATCATTACTGCTGTCATTGCCGTCATTGCCGCGCTGCTGTCGTTGTGCTTATATGTGAGATGAAGAAAAACCAGTGCCATAATGTCAGCTTTAATCTTTTTCATAGCTTGCGTGTCCTTTTGGTGTGCACCCAGTTTCCTTGCTGTGGTGTTGAAATATTACGATTGAACAAATGGGTTGTATGACATTAGTTTGTGGTTTCGGAACGACAGTCCGCCGCAATTCATTAGTCATGTTAAGCAAGTATGGGGCTCACGAATCACGGCTAGCTGCCAGAACCCATTGGAAGCAGACCATTACTTGTTCTGCCTCCATTTGTTTCATTAAACCTGATGAACGAATATTGTGTCGCTGATGCAATCCGTGCTCTCTGGTAACAAAATGCATTATGTATGACATCAAAAACTGAGCAAGCTACCGCGCCAGATTTTCCCTCCTGGTATCTCCCTCCCCCCCCCCCCCCGGCCCCATTTCTGTGCAAAATCCAGGACTGCCTATGTCTATACGTCGGCACCACCTTTGGAGAGCCGCCATTTCAGCTCGACTGCTGGCTGCGGCCGATTTCGTCGAGACACTGTCGGGCCGCCGTCGGGCCGCTTTTGGGCCGCCACTGGGATACCGTCGGGCTGCCGTCGGACCGCCGTCGGGCCGCCGTCGGGTCGTTGTTGGGCTGCCGTCGGGCCGCCGTCGAGCCGCTGCTGGGCCGCCACTGGGCTGTCGTCGGGCCCCCGCCGGGCCGCCGTCGGGCCGTTGTTGGGCTGCCGTTGGGCTGCCGTCGGGCCGCCGTCGGGCCGCCGTCGGGCCGTTAATGGGCTGCCGTCGGGCCGCCGTCGGGCCTACGTCAGGCGCACGTCCGACCCACATCGGCCAGGCGTCGAGCCCGCGTCTGGCCGCCGTCGGGCCGGCGACGGCCCTCAAGGGCGGCCGGAACGGCAATCAATCTCCCTTTTGAAGCTGGATCAAAGTTTGCGCGGCCTGGGCGGGCCGGGCGCGGCGCGCCGCCAGCCAATCGGTTCACGGTCATTAGGTGCATTGGGCGGGCCGACGCCAACGGCGCCGGCTGCGCGCTGCCGTTTGAATGGCTTATCAAGTGTATAACGCTGCGATGGCAGTATCTGGCAAGAGCAGGCCATCGGTATTCAGAGGCCGTGGCCGAACGTAAACACAAAACGTGCGCCGATTGCGAAGCGCCAGCGTCGCGGCCCGGGGTCACCATCTCTGTCGCTCTGTCTGGTGGTGAGGTTTCTCACGCTCCGTCTGGTGTTGGGTCCCCGTCTCTCACGCCCCGTTCAGTGGTGGGTCGCCGTCTCTCACGCTCCGTCTAGTGTTGGGTCCCCGTCTCTCACGCTCCGTTTAGTGGTGGGTCGCCGTCTCTTACGCTCCGTCTGGTGGTGGGTCGCCGTCTCTCACACTCCGTCCGGTGGTGGGGTCGCCGTCTCTTACGCTCCATCTGGTGGTGGATCGCCGTCTCTCACACCCTGTCCGGTGGCGGCGGGACCACCTCGTGCTCTCCGTCTGGTGTTGAAGTCACTGTTCGACGGATATACGACGGATATGTCGCATCCGTGCCTGGGGACAAGTTGTCGGTGATGTCGCATCCCTGCTTGGTGACAAGCTTATTATCTCTCTGTCTGGTTAGCATGGGGGTCATAGTTTTTGTCTATCTGCCTGATGATGAGGCCACCATCTCTTCCTACGTTTGGTGGTGGTGTTACCGTCTCTACATGCTTTGTCTGTTAGTGAGATGCAGCTTTTTTTCTTGTCTGGTGGTGATGTCGCATTTCTTCCTTTGTTGTCTGGTTACGTAATAACCACCCATGTCCTTCTGTCTGATGGTGGGATGGTCATTTATCGTATTCTCTGTTTGGTGGTGTGGTTACCATTTCCTCTCTGTCTGGTGGTGAAGTTGTCAATTCTACCAGCTGTATGGTGGTCTAATACCGATCCAGACAACACGGCAATGCCCATTTCATTCCTGGCGCATTGTTTATACGTTCTCCATTGATATCGTTGTTCTCATGCCCATCTACAAAAAAAGATATTCACATCCAGAGCCAGATACAGTAGTTTGCTGAGTTACCGTCGTTAGACGAGCAGAAAATTCTGGTACAATGTGCAGACATTTCTGTCTGTCGCACTAGAGAAGCCCCATTACAAAGCTGACGTCAGTGTGTTTGCTTGTACATCCCTTTCAGTGCAAAGAATACGGCTGCGCTTGCGACTTATGCAAAGTGTAAGGCTTCGGTTGCTCACGTGCGGCGCCACCGGTCCCTTTTCGCTGGCTGGTGTCCAGTTTTGTTTTTTGTTTTGTTTCCCGCACATGAGACTGTACGAAGTCTTGTAAAAAGACTGCAAAAACGTTGTTTTCTAATTTGTTAAGCAGCGTGGTTCTCACTATAGCACAAACACTGTATCTTTGCATTGAAAAGTGGGGATAAAATTAGTATTCGCCTATTTGGTCTCTGCGATCCGAAAAATCGAGCAAGATAACATAATATGCGGTTGCCTGTTTGATCCACTAGTGGCGAGTAAGAATTTTCACTTGCCGTGCTCATTAAGGGATTTCTTCAGCACTTTGTATGCCTCCTTTTTATATTCGGGGCAGCGGTTTGTTTTCCTCGAGCTGGATTTCCATCCTCGTTTTTCTCTTGCATCTGATTGGTATTTTTGGGAATCTAACTGTCCGCTTGCATCCAATTGCACGCCGTGGCTTGCCGTTGCTTCACAAAATCATCCTGTGAGTGGAACAAACACACCAGGACCGAGCTATTCGTTTCGAATGGACATGAAAACACGGTTCAGCGTGTGGATAATTTGCACTTCTCTGTTGAAGCGTACAGGCTGCGGTGCCTGTGGGCGCGTTTCCAATTATAGCGACAATGCATGTATCGTTTAGGTGCGCTGCGACAATGATTAGGACTTCGAGCCAGAGCACATAAACAGAAGTTTGCTTGTACTCCAGATCGCGTGCCCAAACTGTCGCCCGTTGGAATTGTTGGCACCGGTCTCTAGTCCCCTGGCGGTCGTTTTTCAATTACCTGGCTTCAACTTGTCCCGGAGTTTAGCCGGCTTTGGCAATTTCGCTCCACTTGACTCTAGTCCCCGCTCGTAAAGGCTGAACATTTCACCGGGACCGTGTCCTCCGCGCGAGCCGGCCGTGCCCGCAGAGAAAACGCCTCCGCCTTTGCCTCCTGAGTGGTCTTTTGGCCAACTTGTTTGCCGTTGCGCGTCTTGCCTGTGGCCTGTGTACGTGTCCGATTTACGCATCTTTCCTTGTGCCGGTCACCACAGTCAGTGCACATGCACTGTCCACGTGCTGCTCCGATCACCCTTCTCAGAGCGCGACGTCCCGGCAGGCGCAGGGCCGCCCGCAGTATAAACCGCCCCCGCCGCAAACGCCCGCTAGCGCTGCTAACGCTCGGGTACCGTCGCTAACGCCTGGATACCACCGCTAACCCTCGGGTACAGCTGCTAACACCCGGGTACCGCTGCTAACACCCGAGTATCGCCACTAACATCCGGGTACCGCCACTTACGTCTGGGTACCACCGCTAACACACGGGTTCTGCCGCTAACGCCTGGGTATCGCCGCTAACGCCCGGTTACCGCCGCCGACGCCCGGTTACCGCCGCTAACGCCGAGTCCCGACACTGCCCGCAGGGTGCATCGTCTAGTCTAGTGGTCAAGTTCGCCGATACTGAGAAAGAGCGTCAGCTGAGGAGGATGCAGCAGATGGCCGGCAACATGGGCCTGCTCTCGCCGTTCGTCTTCAACCAGTTTGGCACATACGGCACCTACACGCAGTTCGTCGACAGCGTGAGTTCTACGTGGGGCGCGCAGCGGCCGGTTGCCGATACCAGACAAACTGGCTGCGCTGTTGTTGCTGGTGTTGTTTTTGTGGAGCTCTTAAATTCTTGTTGAAGTCCAATGAAAACATGCCTGTCGTTGCGATCCTACGCTGGAATGTAAAGCAGTTCTTTTGGAGGCGTTGGTAGTTCAGATATTAAAGCCGACGTCTGTAATCTTGGCACGCGTGGCAAACGTCCCCTTATACCAGTGGACTTCAAACGTTCTCCGTGTACGTTTAAAATAGCCTTAGCCCATTTAGGGCTTATGCCCAAAGCTGCACCCAGCGAGCTGTCAGCTTTCGTGGCACCACTTCGAGAATACCAACCCGTCTGCATCCTGACCGTGCATGTCCGCACGCGTGCCCCGTGCGCCGCGTGCTCGTGGTGGCCGGTCACGCGTCGGCGGCGGCCGCGGCCCACCGGCTTCCCCGGCTCCGGCGCGGTCTGCTCAGGCCGCCGTCTTCGGCAATAAAACTCGCCGTATCGATCCGGGCGCCCGCTCGCAAAAACGCAGCCCCAAGTGGTGTTAGCGCGCGGAAAAACGTCGCGTCGCCGACGCGAAGATGATCTGTTTCGGAGCCGGCGGCGACGACGCCGGCCGGAGCGGTGATCGGGGCCAGCGGCGAATACGCCGCGGTGACCGCACCACCGCGGCGGAAATGGCGCGCCGGCGTCGCGGTGTCGCGCCCTAAACGGTTGTGGCGGAGCCAGGGATCAAAGGAATGGATGGCGGAAATGGTGAGGCGTACGACGTCAGTACCGTGTGATGAGGGTCAGCCGTGTTGTAACTGATTCATGGCCTCTTCCGCACCGTTTCTGTGACGAACGGTCTGTTTTCAGTTGCGGCACTCGCCCACGGCCACAGTTTGATGGTGCTGGGTTCAATGCATTTTCCAACCGAGGTTTTAATGGATTTTCCCTCCGCACAACGCCCATCGGTGTGATATTGAGCCCCGCAAATTTGAGGAACTTGCAGAAAAGCTGTGCCGTCATAAACGTTCTACTGCCGAGTGCTCGCTCTCCATCCCCCTCCCCAACGAAACGCAAAACGAAATGTACCAATGAATCAGGAGAGTGTGTCGCCCTTATGAAGCTTCCTGAACCAGTTTGTCGTGAAATGTAAGCGGTATGAAAACATTTTAGCGAGCATATAAATGCCTTGATAAGGCCGCTTCAGAACATAATTGTTAATGCAAGATGAGCGCGTGTGGCTGACGTAGGCCACAAGAGAGAAGCTGCTTCTATCGGAGCTCAGCCATACACCGTCATAAGCAGGCACCTGCCGACGGTTAGCTGGTCAAACAACTCATTCATGCAGTCGTGTCCGTTGTTCACCACACATGCCTGTTAAATGTGTTCGGCTATAAAAGTTGTCCTGAAATTACATGTGATTGTCTCATTCATCAAGGAAAGAGTCCACGAATTTAGCGCTTTATGATCAAATATATGACGCGAACTTGATCATAAACATCTGGTAATGGTGTTATATTTGCTACCTGATGTGCTATTTAGGGATTCGTTTGTCAGTGGTCATCGTAGCAAACAAAAGTTGGCATTGACCTCTTATTCCGGTCCCGTCCCATCATCTGTGTGTTCGATTGATCCAGCTATATCCGGTTACGGTTGGATCACGATACGTTCTAAAATTTCATTGATGCTTCTTTGGGGCGGAAGGTTGCTGACTGGTAGTAAAGCCCTTAAAGTCACGCCTTATCATGCTGATGTAGTGTATGGCATGCATTGCATGCGTTTTATGTCCACATCTGCATGCATTTTATGTCTACAGGGCCTCGGTGAGACCTGATTTGTTTGACCACGTTTTTTAAGCAGTAAGGTCGCACTTCAAACACTAACCCAGTCAGCGTGCTTAGTGCTGAGGTCATTGGAGCCAGTGCACATTGCACCGCCTACTCCGCGGTCTGCTGTTGCTGTGCAATGCACGTGATTGGTGACAATGTTTCAACTACGGGAGACACGGGTTGTTGGAAGCGTTCGTGATGGGCGGCGGTCATACAGCGCACTGTCTGAAGACTGTACATTAATTGATTCTGGACATGAATTTCGTTGCGAAATCCGTCCAGAACGTTGTTTTTAGTTGTTTCTGTGTTAAGAATTGTCACAGTTTTCTAACGCTTTGTTCCCCTGCATTATCGCTGCCAACTTAAACGACACGATCCACAGCCAATAAAAACTCAGATCCTAAGTCATATCATATTCTGCTAAACACACAAACTGGTTACAACGGGCGCGACTAGACTTCAACGATACCTATAGTGGACCTATTGAATTGAATGGCTAGCGTTCCTATGTTGGGTGTAAACAACATTTCGGTTCGAGACCGTCCGTTATACTTTAGGTGTGAGGGCGGCATATTTTGTCTTTAAATAACCATTGATGTTTTTAGCTCTTATAATTCAAAACTGTTTTGCCTTGTCTTGGGTAATGCATCTCAAACCGTTGGAAAGATCACATTCAATGTCACATACAGTACATATTTTCTCCCCTCTGTGCTGGTAGCTTTTTGCGTTTAACTTCTGACAGCGATCCCTCAAAAAGAACGCGTGACAGGGGCTGCAGCTGCATTTGACCACTCACTAACCTCATTTCCAAGGCAGATGCGAAGGGAGGTGAGTCACGGGCCTCGCGTGGGGCCTGCTGCTTACCATGGTCAGCATGCTCGCTGACGGTACTTCTATCCAACACGGGCCAAACAGTGGCTCTGATGGAGAGCGCTAACATGGCGCCGTGATGTGCTACCAATTTTCACTGATGCAGGGTTTCCAGAGGGATTTTATGGGCAGCTTGTCAGCTCCACGTGGTCCCATGCCAGTTGTGACCCTGTGAGACCGCCCGCTGGGTGCGCCTCTGCAAGCAGACCACCCCCAAACAACGTGCGTAAGAAAATGCTGCGAAAGATCAGGTTGGGACGGGCAGGTGCTCGAACTAAGGGCAGATGGTGCTGATCATCCGTGGCAGGAGCTCAGGTCTGATAAATAGAGCGCAAGTAGGGCCCTCATGCTCGCATCTCTTGTCATGACTGTATATTTTTCAAAGTTACTTGTGCGAGTTCTAGATTTAACGGCTTCTACGACGCGTGTCCAAGCAACAAATAGCTACAACCGCAAATGTAATTTTCTGTCAATCTTTAAGCATGTTGAGCTTTGACAGTCGCAGAACCTATTTGTAATGCAAGTACAGTCGTAGTAGCTGCATTAGCACTGTTATAATAACCGATGCCAGATAGCCCTGCCCTTAGGTTAGCGGTTGACCTGCCAAGAGCTTCACATAAATTAATTTTGCAATTTTGGTGATGATGTTGATGATTTTGAAAATTGCCACAGAATTTGTCTCATTTCCAAGGTCCTACAGCTGCATATAGTCAAAGCATGGAGTCTTGGCAAAAGACGAGAGCATGAGCGTGTCTCTTGCTCTGTATTTACTTGTCTTCAGCTCTGGCAGGGTCTGGTTTGCGTCAGCTGACCCCTGGGCGGTCCGGGCCGGTCTGGTCCGGCCGCTCGCAGACCGCCCCTACCCCTGTTGCTAGGGAGTCGGCCGCGCCCAGAGGCACGCCCAGCAGGGGCAATGCGAGGAGCAACGAACATGGCGACAGCGAAACAGACAAGCCCCCTCAAAATCCTTTCGAAGGGATTATGTTGGTGAAGGGTGGCGACGCGTCACGATGCAGTGCTGATAAAGTGCTGCACAATGCTGTCCTTTGCACACACACACACGCACGTACGCACGCACGCACGCACGCACGCATGCACACAAACACACCCACACCCATATATATATATATATATATATATATATATATATATATATATATATATATATATATATATATATATACGACTCCCACGACTCCATGATACTATCCTCCAGGATATTCCGTGTCATTGGTCTTGTATATATATATATATATATATATATATATATATATATATATATATATATATATATATATATATATATATATATATATATATATACAAGACCAATGACACGGAACATCCTGGAGAGTAGTATCATGGAGTCGTGGGTGCCCGGACATGCCCAGCGGTAGGCTCCACTGCGCCTATGATATAAACAGGCCTGCTGTTGCTCCTGTGTTTGCCTATTTTTCGCCCAGTTTGAGCCTGGATGCTCGTGGGTGGAGGTCGCAAAAACAGCTGCGCTGCCACTGGTCAAGGGTGTGTGCAGTCACAGACAGGGGTAACTGACCTATAATATGTGTTGAGTCTGTTTTGAGGTCAAACACAATAGGCGGTGAGGAAAGGGAGACGGTTTAAACGTTCAACGTCAAGCAATAACCCCTGACAAAAGTATAGCATTCTATTTCATACCATGAACTCTACCATCGAGATGGCCGCCTTCTATAAAAAGGCCACGCTACCGACAGGGTCTATTTTAGTCCATTTGAGTTTGATCATTTAACATCCTGTCGAAGAAATATATCTCTCTGGTCCTGGCAACGAAGGGCATATTTTAGGCCGACAGGTCATTAGAGCCTAATGTGCGGACGGCAATCATTCAATTAGAACCGTCGGAAGGAGGACAGCGACGAGAGTGATTGAAGCTTAGCAGCATGTGGCACTGCAACACGTTTTTACAACAGCATATGATGTTACCTAAGATCCCAACATGAATGCCAAACACGACGATGAAATTAATAAGGTCATTGCAGCAAGTATTGCGAACGGGAAACGTCCAAAATTAAAAGAAATAACACAAAACGAGAAGAAACTTTTTTCTCGAAACCTCATACTTGTGTTGAAATGAAACATGTACCTGGTATCACCAAGTCCTCAAGATTTGCTGTTAAGCTGCAAGTTCATTGTGAGTTCTGAACGCTTTCAATGAGCTTTAGAGGATAGTTATGGGGGATGGGGTCCCTTATCTCTGCTCGGGTAGTGCAGGCCCATCCCAAAGTTTACATTCGAAACGGTCATGGTTGCCACCTCAACATTCCCTGTCCTCGGGGGTCGGACGTCAACGCGTGGACTGTTTGTCGCTCTCACGAACTGCGGTGGTTGATATCCCTTGACTGTGAGCGTCTGAAGACGAAGCTCATCACATGCCCCAGTTCGTCTCTCACTTTCCCCTACCGCGGCAGCATCCCCTGTGTGTGCGAGTCTGAAGTCTGAGCTCGTCACGTGCCCTGGACTGCCTCTCCCTCTTCCCTACCGCAGCAGCATCTCCTGTATTTGAGCCTGAGGCTGGAGTCCATCACGCGCCGCCTAACCGGCATACTGCTCTCCGCTGTTGCAACAACATCCCCTGTGTGTGAGAGCCCGAAGTCTGAGTCTGCCACGCGCCGCCTGACCGAGCCACTGCTCTCCGCTGTTGCAACAGCATCCCCTGCGTGTGAGAGCCCGAAGTCTGAGCCTATCACGCGCAGCCTGACCGGGCTATCACAATCCGCTGTTGCAACAGCATCCCCTGTGTGTGAGGGCCTGAAGTATGAGTCCATCACGCGCCGCCTGACCGGGCTGCCGCCCTCGGCTGTTGCAGCAGCAGGCGGCTCTGATGGCGGCCGCCCAGGGCAGCTATATCAGCCCGATGGCAGCCATCACCCAGCTGCCGCACGGCGCCCTCACCAACGGAATACCGACCACCATCGTGCCCACGTCCAACGGTACGTCCAGCTCCATCGTGCCCATGTGCAATGGTATGCGAGTTCCGTCGTGTCCGCTTCCCACGGAGAGAGGTGCCCCATCGTACCGACCTCCAGTGGGCAGCATGCGTACTCTGTTGCCGTTAATCGTGAAAGTGTCCCACTTCCGATGGGTGGGCAGCGTCTTGCCTGCAGCCAGCAGCGTCCCATTTCCAAACGTCCATGTCCTACCTCCGGATACCGTCGCCTGCGCTCGTGCGTCCACGTCAAGAGTCGTTCCTCCACATCCGGGGGCATTCCCGATCTTCACACCCCACTCTTATTGCGATTGTCACAATTTCAGCGATCTGTGACCACGATCATCGTCATGACCACCTACCAATGTCCCTTATATTCAGCAAGTATCGAACACAGTGCCTCAGCATCGTCTCTCGGCGCATCGCAGGGCTCCGAAGCACCTGTCGGCCCACCTAATACGCGCGTTAACTATCCGTAACAAGTGTGACGCGAGCAAATGCATGAACTGCCGTTGCCCCTGGCCGGCGCGTCTCGTCAGTCCCATTTCTGACCCACTTCGCGCCGGCCCGGCCGCGGCTTTGTTCCGCTGATCGGTCATCACCCTTCGGTTCAGCGGTGCCGAAGGGACCGGGACTCGGCGGTGCAGGAGGACGCCCACCCCCTCCAGCCCACCCTCCCCGCCTATTGTCGAATATTGATTTCGGACCGGTTGGCCGTCGCCTGCAGTGGCTGTGGCATCCGGGACCGTTGAAGACCCGCCGTTATCAATGGCCGCGATGCAGACTTTAGGGGTGCGGGGACGTGGTGATTGCGGGGTGTGTGTGGGGGGGGGGGGGGAATCTAACCGTTTGTCCGAGGGGCTGCTTAAGTGTTGTATGCTTTGTAATTAGGTTTTGCATGATGTTCCTGGCGAAAATATTCTGAAATGAAGATTTTTGATAGTTTGACATTGGAATGTAGTCGCCCATGGCGGCATTTTTCACGCTCGCATACATGGTATGGACCTTCACAGCAGACACTCATGGAACAGCAATTTATTATGTGGCTCATTGCAGCTCAAGTAATTACCATAAAGATCCCCACCACGAACACTACAACTGCATGTAGCACATCCTCATTATGGTACTTAATTGCATCATGTTTTATTAAATTGCATGCATGTTATTCCCTTGCCGGAACATCCGCGTGCTCTATGTTTTGCGTGCCGTAAAACGGCGTTACGCGTTCTCGAGCTTTCTCCAGGAACTTTGATCTGTCGTCATTTTGTCACCTACATTAAGAGATGTCATAAATTATGTAAAGGGAGACATGTGTCGCTGGGGATAATGTGCTCGCGCACCTGTCTCTGTGTAGTGATTGACGCTTGCCTCCAGTAATTCAGGAGGGTAGGTCCTTGCCTCCGCCGCCGAGTCTAACGAAGCAAAATCACATGCGTTAGCTGGCCACTTGCTGTGGCCACGTCTAAATTCACTTCATCGATTGCTGAATGACCATGCAACATCTTTGGAACACTTTTATAACCATGCAGTGAGGGCTGGTAACACTGAAATGCATAGTTCCTAACAAAAACAAGCCCGACCTTTTATAGCATCGCGTTCGCCTGAATCCGTGTGAAGTTCAAACGACGGCATTGGCTCGATTCTCGTCTGGCTGCCACCACGCCTTCTTTCGCGGGCCGGAAAGCTCAAGCAAGCTATGTTCTCTGTGCCTCCGTCGCTGTATTTCTGACTTTATCACCACTGTCGCAATGCTTCGATACCGCACAGTTTCAGCCTGATCCACAATGCACAGTTCGTCGCACGCTCACTGCTGCGACATCTCCAACAGCGCCAAGTGTCGCTGCCCGCGATCGTCCTCCATGTGCGGTCGCACATGTCGTGCGACACTGTTCATCCAAATTGGCGTCCTACAAATAAGGATCCCAAGATTCATCGTCGCTCACTCGCCAAAGCGGATATCCGTTCGGCGATCCGGCCGTCGCTTAACTTGTTTCACCCATGTGTACAACCATAATAACCCCAGGGGCTCTAAAAATGGGCATTCCCAGCCACGTAAAACACCCATCAATCCCTGTGCCGAGTCGTGAGCACCTCCGTGCACCTCCGTGCACCCGTCACGCCCGTACCTGCGTACTGTGAATATCTCAGGCTCTTGCTGTTCTTTGTGGGACCTGTCCACAGGTCAACAAGCAAAGGACACCAAAGAGATGGACGGACATACAGACAGACGTGCTTTTTCGCAGGAAGTATTTTCTATGCCAGCCTTGTTTGAACTAGGAGCCAGTATAGAAATACTGCGCACCTCCGTATTGTAGCCGACCCCATTCTACAGTCCAGGGTCAAATATGGCGGCAACAAAGATCACTTGGTTCTAACTAAAAAGCGGCCGCAAAATGAGAGCTGTGTGAATCTGTTGGCACGCCAGCACGGGCGGCGAAATATGCAGATTCTGCTTTTTATGTATCCGGAAATCAAGTGACGGAGATCTCCGCGGTGATTTTCCCTTAAAGTAGGCGCTGGGGCTTATGCACGCCCTGAACGCATTGCACATGGGGTTCTCCTAATCACAACGTTACGTAGGTGCATTTCACATCAAGCGCTGATTCTACTTACCTCCAGCACTGGTTCCATTTCTTTTATCACGGACGTCTAACGGGATGTCATGTCACAAAGCATCGCGTTCTGCCAACTGTTTTCTTCCCTGCGCTGGTTAGGTACTCTTGCCTCCAGGGGGCATTGAGTTTAAATTTGTCTGCCACGCACCGAGCATAAGACGGGCATCACTGGTGACCGTGCGCATAGCTTGAAACGTCGAGTTTCGCAATATAACCATAGCTTGCCTAATAACGTCGTTTAACCAGCACCTGCGGTTACATTGAAGGGTGATGATGGTCAGCATAAGAACTCCTAACTGAAAACGCCATGTTTTTCGCGGTGGGAATCTTTCACGCCTCTCTCGTCTGTCTAGCTCTGCATTGTAAGGTATGTGACAACGCTCAGCATCCTTAAGGCTCATGATCCCTAGTGAAAAGGTGTCTTATATTACGCTCCAGTATGGCGCCATGGCAAGCGTAAAAGGCAATAAACCCTTCGCTTGCCTGACTTCACTACTCCCTGCATTTTCCGTTCGTCCCACACATGCAGCGGAATGCAATATGGCGAAGGCTTTTATTAAACAGCACTGAAACGTGCAAAAGTCTTTGAAACAAAGCTCATGAAATATTTATTGGCCGCCTCACCTTGGTGAATTTGAATATCAAAGGCCGCTGCCCGGGTGGAGCATGTATGGGATCTAAGTGGCGGGCTGCTGGGCCGTCTCAGATGCAAAGGAGGCTGATCTGGTGCGGCGCCTCAAATACCCCGGAACGTCTCGAAACTCACGGCGAGCGGCGGCGCGCCGCCGAGTTCCGCGAACTTCACGCTGTCGCCTGAGCTCGGCCATCAGCCGGTTGAGTTGTTCAGTCGTGACATGCGGACGGCAGGCCTTCCTCCGGTGTCAGTGGGGCCAGTCCGCCGCCAATCCGGGCGGCCGCTTCGTGAGTAGCCGTCAGGCGCGGCCGCCGTGACCTTTGACCCGGAAGCGTTGACGCCGGCCTGGGTAGAAACTCGGCCACCCGGGCGGCGCTCCGCCTCGGCACGCCAGAGCACAGCGACTTCTTCGCATCCCACCACGGCCTCGGTGCTTGCAAGCTCGGTACACTTCCCCGAATTAGGCGTTCAACTATGTTGGCTAACTGAATAGCGGCTGTCGAGATCCGGGAAGCGTGACAGGCGCAGGCTTCATTTTCGTTCCGGCTTCGGCTGCCTCTCAAGGTTTTATTACATAATACACATTCAGTTTTGGGCGGCATATGCCAGCCGTATGACGCAACAGGGCGTGCAGTATGTTTGTTTCCAGTGCGACCTAATAAGCGATGTGTTCAAACGTTCCGCATAACCAGGGGTCAAGGGTCAGCCAGAGGTCAGTCTCGCCGAAGTTGACTGCGTCGATCAACGTGGGGAATGCCCAAACACCAACTTCTTCACAGCTGGGGTGATTTCTTTTCCATTTCGAAAACATGAAAAAGGCAACTGAGAGGCTGTTTTCATTTTAGTGTTTTATTGTCAGTTGAAAGTTGTGATTATTACACGTCATTTTTGTATGTTGTCGGGATATCTTCGGGAGGATGGCAGGAGAGAACATTGTTGAGGGGCTCAGCTGTATGTCGGGGTGCGGACTCAGGTGCAAGTTGAGAAGCTCGAGTCTCCCCGAGTCAGTCACGATCCTACACCCCATTTCGAATGCACCAACTAACACGACGAGCCTTCCGTGCCCTCCCTGCCATCACCGACACCGACGGGATCGGGACTCACCGAGGCCATCCGTCGGGTGTCCAGGGCCGTTCGGTGCGCACCCCTCCCCACGCGACATCGTTCCGGCCGCTGACGTCCGCGGCTCTTGTCCGGCAGGCTCGGCGCCGCCCGTCAACGGCGTCATCCCAAACATGCCGTCACCGACCATGTCGACCTTCAGCGTGGGCGCTCCGCCCTCGTCGCAGCCGGTGGTGTCGGAGGCCGGCGTCTACACCAACGGCCTGCCGCAGTCCTACCCGACCTGTGAGTGCCGGCCGTGCCGACCCGTCGGACCTGCCATGACCTGCTGAGGTCGCTGATCAGTGCTAGCGGCCCTTGGCGTAAGTGGCGTGGAAGTTCAGGTGGCGTGTGACGGACTTGGCGTTTAGTGGCCAATGATCCATGCATGACTGCAGGCTGCTCATAGACATATGAGTAGACTGTGCAAGAGTGGAAAAGCCGGGTTGCCTGTGAGCAAACGCCCCCTGCGAGTAACCTATGACTACATACCTCTGACCTTCCTCGGCCTATCTCTGCATCTACCTTTGGAGTGACTGGTGATGGCCTAAGTGAATGTGAATAAGGCCCTAATACCTGTGGCAGAATGTGTGGCGTGAGCCATTTGTGAGTGAGTGGCTGTTGCAGTCCCATCAGGCTCCTGAGCGCCGACCCAGGGGCGTGGGCAGAGTATACTTTCGTGTCACGGCCTCGCGGAGCGCACGCGAATGAGCCAAATGGTTGCAAACGACCGAGGCTATGCACCCATGGTAAACGTCTATTCCAGCCTAAAGGCACGCAATGTTCGAATGTGTGCACTAAGCAAAAATGTTACCTGAGGTTTTACACTAGTCGTAGAAGCTATTGTAGCTTAAGTTGCATGATGTCGGGGAAGATGCTCAGATGTTTGAAAGGACCTTGGTCCTGCTATTTCCATTTTTGTTGTTGCCAAACTGCAGCACGATATCAACTAGTGATGTGTCCCCATTGCTCTTTTGCTCAGCATGAAGGCCCATTTGAGCAAGTGAAGCAAATCGGGTCTGACAGGGACGGCTGAACAGGCTGAACTAGCATATTGTCAAACATACTGCATCGAAACATGCGGATAGATTCGATGTTGTAAATGTTCCGTTCAATGTGTAGGACCGTTAAGTCGAAGCGTTATTGCCGACTTCGTCGATGAGTCCAGTGTCACGTTCCCGTTTTATTTGACCACTCGGAGGCTCTCGACGCTTTCCAGTCCACTTGCCAGCGGGTCCAGAACCGTGGCCGGGCTGGATACTGGGAGTCGCTGGGAAAGCCCGCCGCCCATGACCAGACGTGGACGTGGCGACTTGCATAGTTAAAGCCGCCCCCGTCATGACACTCCAAGTTGCCGGCATCGACCGGGCGTTATCGGACCCGCGTGACCGAAAGTTGCGGAAATCAATAGCCCATGGCATCGACGGGCATCTCACGGCCGGGGCCCAACAAATAGGGCGGGGCGCGGGCGGCAGCGGCGGTCCGTGGGGCGTTCCTCGGCCTGGCGTCTGATGCAGACGCGCCCCGTGAGACGGCGCCGGCGGGACAGCAGACCTCGTTAGTTCACGCTGGACGGCCAGATGGGCTGGCTCGGTGCTCGCCGCCGGCGGAAAGTTGGGAGGCGCCGCGGCTCAGCCCAGCCGGGGCCGAGACCGCGGCCTTCTCCCGAGCGGCATCTCCTCCGCGAGATCGGGGGGAAAAGCGAGATTGACTCGGAAACCAAATCGCGCCGGTGGGCCGCCGCAGATGAACCATGTAAAGACGGGGCGAATGGCCTTCATTTGCATTTAATTTGAGTCGGCAGTCGTACGCCCAACCCACATGACAAAGCGGTCCAACCGTGCTGCCACTTGGGCGGCGGCCGGGGCCGGCGCCCCGCCCCGCCCCGCCCCGCCCATCGAAAGGTCAGAGGTGACGGCGCCTGGATGGCCGCCGCCGGCCGGCCTCCCTGCGCGCCTGCCGTCGCCCGCCGGCCGATAAGCTAACGACGCTGCCGCCCGCAAACTGCGCCCCGCCGCCGTGGTCACGTGCTGTTGTGCCGTCGATTACAGTGCTATCGTCGCCGACGTCGATGAACGGCGAGGCCACCATGCAGTCGGCCGCCTATCCGGGCATGCCCTTCTCCGGAGTCGGTGAGTGTCGCCGCGCGGCTCGGGCCCTCGCCGCCTGCGGCTGTGGCGTTGGCGCACGCAGCGTGCGCCGGAGAGGGCCTCTCGCGCCGCGATCGTGTGATGCCGCGTGCCCCACGGCATCACACGCGTCGCCACTGGATGTTCGGTAGCGCGATGGTGCAGTGAATGCTCGGTGTGTCACGCTGAACGCAATGTCGCGCGAAGCTTCAGGAAACCTCGCTGGGTGATGGACGAGTCAAATCACACAGGCCGTGTGGCCTGGACACTGTGTAATGCTTTGCACTTGCGCGTATATGTCGGACGCGATGATCGAGGCACATGATAGAGCCCATTTGATAGCTACGGCGCCGAGGTAAACTGTTGTGGCGATGCAAAATATGGCGTGCGATTTGGATGTTGCACATTGCACCGCTAGCGCCTTCACTAGCGACGCCCCCTAGATCTGTGACCCCGACTCGACCAGAGTAGCACCACGCGTTTTATGTGGTGCAGTGGATGTATGCCTCGTGTAGTGCGTGCGACTAGTCCATCCTGGAGATCGCCGGCGTGTTCCCGCCCCCAGGAGGCGTGGCTTTGTAGCGTAGTGTTTGACCTGGGCGTTCCTCTCTGTTGCAGCCGCGTTCCCCCAGCCCTATCCCCCGATAGTGACGCAGCCGCCCCTGATTCTCCCCCGAGAAGGTAAACACTGGTCGAACGGCCGCCTCCGCCCGCCTCCATTCATCCACCCGTGTCGTCAATCGCAACCAGGACGATCGCGCGTCCTTTCTCCACGGTTCGCCAACGTCTTAAATTTTCCAGGTCACACTAACCCAGTGGTGTCTCCCAAAGATCTTCCACTTTGGCGGGTCAGGTCTCCCAAGCAGCCCAGCAACGTGCCGATTTCACAGTATCTTTGACTCTCCACTACCCTTTATTATGATTCCGTCAAGCAACATTGGACTCGGTGCAGTTACGCTATCTCCCAGATGCGTGAAAACAGTGCTTCCCTTTATCGCTTCCACTTACGCGCTGCGGGCCACACATCTCTTTCATTTGTCAGCCACTGCTCATATATATATATATATATATATATATATATATATATATATATATATATACATTTACGTATATATCAGCTTATGCGGTGTGCCTTGCGGGCTACACAACATTTACCCGCTTGGTGAGGATCTATTGCCGTTTTCTTCTGGCGAGAGCAGTATAGCCGATGAGTGTATGCCCTCATTTGCGCTCAACAAATTTAATGAACATTCAGCTCACCTTCAAGGATAAGCTTCGGCTGCAGTGCAGCCTTTTCAAGGGCCGTCGCGCCGAAGAGCTCCATCTGCTCACTTCATCTCACTTTCCCACGCCCGTTACCATCGGACATGATGGCGCCCGCATAGCCTCCCGCGCTCATCGAACAATGTGTCGCTGGTCGTCGGCCCTCTTGCTCCCGCCCTCTCTCCTCGCTCCGCTCCCTTTTCTCTCCCTGTCTCTCCACTGACTGCCGATGCCAGCGCCGTGGGACCGTGGCTCCCCAGGACATGGTCCTAATGCCTGCCGTGATGCATGTTGAAACCGCGGCACGAAGGGCCAGCGCCAGTTGAAGTATTCCATGTGTCCCCGTACATGCCTGGACCGCCTAAATATTTCAGTGTTTGCATTTGGGGTGGTGGGCTGGTAGGGGCCCAAATAGCAGCCGGCCAACCTGTCAACCCAAGGTGGTCGTTGGTGCTGTTCGACAAAAGGCGTGCCTGTGCACTTACGCCGAATTGCATTCCATTCTCCCGGCATATCATGGAGACCATTATGGGACCGGAGTCCACTGTCTTGATCATTACTATCTGAGTCTGGCGCACTACCGGCGCCAGATAAACCTGTCACCATTTGCTGCTCGTCCTTTGTGTCCACTGTCCAATCGCTTTATAACTGGCTTGACGGCTTTCTCACCGCACTTACCGTTACGTGTTAGTTACGTGTGCGTCAGGCGACTGAAAGTCACGCTAATGTGTTGTCGCGACGGTGGGGTACGCGCTGGTAAACCATCGCATGCGAGATGGCTGGTGTTGGATAGGCCATCCGCATGCTCCGTGCCTAGATATCTGACGATTGTGTTGTAACATTAAAGCGCTGGTGCATACAAAGTTTTCATATTAGCTGAATTCCACCATTTGTGCAGTCGTGTTTTATTCAGATATTTAATCGTGATAGATATTTCAAAACGATTAATGCACACTGCAATTCACTTTAACGGCAAAACTCGCTTTCTAAACGCCGACATCATCCGCCAGGGTGCAGCATAAGCGGCCCCGAGGGGTGCAATCTTTTCATCTACCATCTGCCGCAAGAGTTCGGCGACGCGGAGCTAATGCAGATGTTCCTGCCGTTCGGTAATGTCATCTCCTCGAAAGTCTTCATCGACCGCGCCACCAACCAGAGCAAATGTTTCGGTGAGTTGGCATAACGACCGCGACAAATCGGCCGTCGTCGTGCCACGGCCGAAGCCGCAACATTTCCAATCGGGAGGCATTATAGGAAGCAATCAGTTTCGGAAACATGAAATCCCCGGAGGGCCAGTTGGGGAAATCCCACAGTGCTGTCGGGATTGTAGAGGAACTTCAAGGGATGAGCTGATGCTCATTACCGAATACAATAGACGGGCTGATTGGTTCCTCACCGTTGTGTTGCTTCTTGGCATCGCGCAGTCGAACTGATGGATTTAAGGGCACGCCAGTCATTTTCTATCGAATTAACTCGCGTCCCCAGTCCCACAGACGGCAGCATGCTTTAGTGGAAGCCCTTTCCTAGGTGTGGACCGGAGCGAGGAGAACCGAAAATAAATGTGCTTCGGGTCGTCCCGCGTCGCACCGAAGGTCCAGTCCCGCCCTCCGCTAGAACTTGCGTCCCCGTCCCTCTCACCAGCGGCGCACCCCGCCGCCCGCCTGAGGCTGATCCCGCCCTACGTCTCTGTGTAGGCTTCGTGAGCTTCGACAACCCGTCGTCGGCGCAGGCGGCCATCCAGGCCATGAACGGCTTCCAGGTGGGCATGAAGCGGCTCAAGGTGCAGCTGAAGCGGCCCAAGGACGCCTCGCGGCCCTACTAGCGCCACCTGCGCAGGTGAGCGTCGGACGGCCTGGGCGCCTCGCACCGGCAGAGACCCCTGGCGGTAACGGAGGCTGCGGGACTCCGTGCGTATGCGCGGCCAACAGCTGAGCGGGCCTCCAGTGCCGACTGAACGGACAGAGGGGAGCACAGTGCTGGTCGATGGGGGATTGAACGGTGACTTGGCATCTGAAATGGTTTAAGGAAATAAATTACAGCGGTTACGAAGACGTCACTTCGGGAAATCCTAGTTTTTGCTTCGCTCATTCCTGAGCAGAGTCTGACTCCGCTCGGAGTCAGACTCTGCTGACTCCGAGCGGAGTCAGACTGCTCAGACTCTGCTCCAAACCTACTCATACCACAACTCTCCTCTTAGAATAGGCAAACTTCACCGACGGTGCTAAGCTCTAACCAAACCGCGTCGGTTTCAGCCTAAATCAGCGATGAACGGTGCTCAAAACTGTTGGCTGTAATCGCATAGTAAGTGGTCGCACTTCTCCGCGTTGGCTGTCGTTCGTTGCCCGCATTGTTTGCTAGGTGGCGGTGGCGTTGGTTATAGGCGACGCCGGAGTGCTGACCCTGGGTGTGCTGCCTCCGACGTGTCGTGTTGTTCGGTTTCATATCTGTTCCTGATTTGGTGTTTAGCGGTGTTTTACTCTTTCGATGTGCTTCTCTTTGTATCGTGAACCAAGAAAAGAAGGCGAAATTAAGCACCCTGAGCGCAACATTTGCGAACGGTAACAGCAGATGTGTGCATTTTTTTAGTTGGTCCAATTCGCGCGTAGCAAAGCCATCCACTGAATCGGAGATGATGGAGAGCCAGCCTTAATATTGTTGCGGATATATTCGGTTAAACATGAACATCAAGCCTATGAATGTTTTGGTGTCCTTTTATATTCGCCCAAAATTCTGCCATTGCCGTGGCAGATTAAACAAACAGATGGGTATGTATGACTGGAATCCCTTGCATTTTTTATGTATTCAGTTGGCCACACTATCTGAATATCAATGTTGTCATACCGGGTAGGCAGTATTAGTGACATTAGATGTTTCTCGTGTTCTAGCTTCCTCGCTCATTGTGGAGTTAAACGAGATTAACTGCTTACATTTAGTCCTCCATGGGCGAATAACGAAATATGGGAGGCGGGTGCCTGCATGTAATATAGCGGCTTTGATGCGTTACTGTCCACATGCGGCGCGCATGTGCAAGAACTGTGACGCGTTAGACAGCTCGAGGTCACCCAGGACTGCGCTAGAGCAGTTCGGGGTGATCACCAGTGATTGATAGCCGCGTGCGTCAAACCCCTGCGACCCATTCTCTCCCCCGAGCTCGGGTTCATCTCTGCTGCTGCCAGACACCACGCGGCTCTCCATCACGTGCCACGTGCCGCGTGAGCCTGACATGTGCGGCCTGTTGCAGATGCGCTCCGCCGTCGGCTGGCCCGGCCGCGCGGTGACCAGTGACGCCACCGTCGGCGCCGCGGCGGAACCGGCGCGTGCGCTCCGTCTCCTTCCGACCTCCACCTCGGCTCGGCTTCTTCAAAAGTGACTTCCAGTGAGGACGTGGCAGCTGCGCAATAGTCGCCATCTAGCGGGCGGGCTGGCAGCGGGTCCACCCGGAGCTCTGAGTAGTGTTTCGGTATTTATTGAGTATTTATTGTTGCGCCGCGCCCTGCGCAAGACTGCTGGCTCCATGCCGGGCGGGAGACCTTCAGAGACATCTGCAGTGATACAGCACAAGCTTTGTTTGAGGAGTGGGCCAGGTGGCGCTGACTGTACGTGCCCTTCGGTTGACATGCGAAACGAGGCGGGACATTTCGGTTATGGAGAAATGTACACGAAGAGAGGTCGAGCTAGGTGATAGAAGTGAGTAGGAGCATTCCAAAAATTGGAGAGACGATATACATTATTAGAGTAACCTATGACCATAGGGAATAAGAATATCTTAAGTTGGAAAACCAGATAAAAGGGTGCCGCTTATTCACCTTCATAGCATCACTCTCGTTCCTATGTGAGTGCGAGAGTCAGCTTTATCTGCAATTACGTTTCTCGGTTATGGATAATAGACCATAGCTTGTTTGTGCATGGTGGTAGGTAACGTTCTTTACTACTACCATACTTGGTGCTGAGCTTTTCACAAACGTTTTTCGTCAAGAAAACACGACTGTCGTTTATCAAAAGAGGGCTTTAAGAGAGCTTCATGTCATATCGGGTATTTTGTGCACCACGTGTACCATTTATTCAAATCTTACTTAAGATATTACACTGTCATATGAAACGTGCAGAGCTTTATGTGTTGTCACTTGCGTGTTTTACGCTAGAACGGGCTTTGGAGTAACGAGTCGTCTGGCGGCGCACCTCAGGCGAGCTTGGATCTCACCGATCTTCATTTTTTCTCGACGTCTAGTCACTGATAACGCTTATTTTCCTGAGAGCTTGTATTGCGAGCATGACATTGAGCAGCCCGGTACATGCGTTGGCCCGGGGCGACCTGTTGGCGCTGCGTGTTTATATTATAACATTCGTGCATCTTAATTCACGAGTCATTGCCCGCGGCACATATGATGTGAACTTAACCACGTATACCGCACTCAGTCTCCAACGCTGTCGGGATTCACGCGCCAGCGTCTCGGTGAGCGCGCCGCGTTTGCGCCGTCGTGGCAGCGCTGTCACCGTCGGGACGTGAACATGGACGTGGACGCGGACGTGGACGTGGACGTGCTGCGAACCCGCAGTGTCGGCCGGTCGGGACGCGTCGGGTTGGCTCGTCCGAGGCTACGGATCGTGGCCAGTGCCAACAGGGGCGGTCCGGACCGCAGGGTGACGCCTGCAGTTCGGGGCCGCGCTACGACGCCCACTCCCCCCCCCGCTGCCGCGCGCGCGTGAGGTGCATTTCATACGACTTGTTTGTTACACACGTATATCACTATGAAATTGTCAACCTTGGACTGTTGCGCGTTACAATTCTAGTGTTGCATTGTTACGACCTGCGCGACATGTCCACCCGGCGCGGCCTGCGCGTGGAGATCTGCCGGCGGCCAGATGACCTCGGCCAGGTCAGCGCCTCGCCCCTGGACGTGCAACCGGCCGACGCCCTGGAAAGCCTGCCGCCCAGGAGCCGAACCCCGGCCACGCCACAAGGGAAACCCGGCCGCTCCATGAGGAGCCTGAGCGGAGCGCCGCGCTGGCGTACGGGCGCCTGCCGGCAGAGCCGCCCGCCGCGTGCTTCGACGCCGCTGGGGCGCGCCGCCTACTGCGCACGCCGGCCGCGCCGCGGTCCGGGTAGCTCCGGACGACACACGGCCGCGCCATTGCCGGCCGCTGTGGGACCGCCGGCCGGTAACGTGATGCCAGTGTGACAGTGTGACGGTGCCGTCACCCAGGACGTCGACGGTGGCTCTTGACTCGCGTGCGTCGCCGGCTTGGTCACGCTCGGAGAACTCTAGTTAAGTGTGCTCCTCGCGCGCGTGCAGGGACTCCTGCGGTGTTGTACATAGTAGGCATATATCTATATACCGTCGAGTATTTAGCGAGGCCACATGAGCGAGTGTGTGGGGCGGGCGACGGACAGTGATGGTGTACTCTCTGTGTTTAGTAGGCACACGGGACCAAAATCTTCTAAATACGTTCCTCTTCTGGATGTCAGGGCGACCCCCGGTCTGTTCGACTGTCAGTACACCTTGTCTGTCTGTCTCGGTTCGCACCCAGCCCTCGCGGGGACGTAGCTAGGTGACGCCGGGGCAGGGGCAGGGTAGGCGCGCGGCGCGCCGCGGCACGCGCGCGTAGTGATTACAAGAGTGGGGGGGGAGGGGCGGGCCAGCAGATGCCGGGCTGCACGGCGGCGCTTGCGAGCACCGCCTGGACTTGCCGGGGCGGCTGTAGCGTACGCCCGCAGAAGACCGAGCTTCTGGTAGACTAGAGCTTGATTCTCGCAAGCATATCAGTGGGACGGGGCCGCTGTCGACCGGCTGACCCCAGGTCAAGGGTCGCCAGGCGGGCTCCGTCCCCACCGCTCCTGCACTCGACCTTGACCTCCCAGTATAAAGCTTTGATATAACAGGAGCCCGACCGTTGTGCAGTATTAGGGGGCTGCATTTACCGTAGTTAGTGGATTTTGGAGTGGGTGGTCCTTAGCGACGTGAGCGCAGCAGTTCTGGGGCCCCGCTTGGTGGCGCATATACTCATGCGGACAGACAGACACGGACACTCGACTGGCAAAACGAACAGGGCTGGGGACGGGGCATCGCCCAGGGCATGCGAGGACGGCGTTCATGCAGAGGCGGCCAATGGTACTGAACGGCCTCTGATGGTGAGGCGCGTGCGACATGAATATGTTCGCACCTGCGTGCTTGTGTTCTGCAGACGGTCACATGTGCGCAAGTACAGCTAGTTAATCCGATTCGCTTTACCGTCGTGCGGCCAGGAGGCCGTGCGGGTCGGCGCCAGCACCCATGGTTAAAACATGTACAGGGTATTTCCGAGAGAGAGAGAGAGAAGAGCCGCCGCCCGAGGACGCCCCTTGCGCCCGCCGTAACCGTAATTCGCAGCTTGCATATTGTATAAGACATTATTTGTAACAAAATAAATTCTCGGCAGATAGCAAGGCGGTGTTTTCTATGCGTTGAAGGAGGAGCTCGCAGGGGAACGGGACCGGATGTCGCGTGACAACATGGGCTCAGATAATCAGGTTCAGACAACAGTGCAAATGCCACGTGATGTCTACCTAGGTCTTTTGCATGTCGCAATGGCAGGAAAGAAGCGAATGAAGGGAGTGTCTCACACTTGTATGTGATTTTGAGCTGGCATAGGCACTTTGATGATTATTCGGTGCGGTTCATAGCCCTGTCCTTCTTGAACCCACAGCTTTCTAGTTTCTGAGCTATACAACCGCGAAGACGTGCAGAGTTTTTCGTGTAGATTTTCAAGATCATTCAGGCATACATGACGCCATGGCAATGTCTTTCAAACCCTGCCTCGGCACAGACCAGGCGGCCTTTAAGGCCGGGAATAATATCGCCTAGCTGTTCAGATGTAGAATCCGTGAGAGCAATTTCCAAACATAATGGACATCAGTTGGCTTTCAATGGATGTTTAGCAAGTTTTACAAGCTTCAATTACAAAGCTCTTTTGTGCTACATAATGTAGGATGTTGGACGTGGTTCTTGCACCCGGTGGTTATTACGGAGGTGAGACTTGTAATCGAATAACTTGAAAATAACATCACAACCGAGTATGTGAATACAAGCAAACATTCATCTTAAGCCCACGGATAAATACGCGAAAACACAACGGGAAAGCGCTAAAACACGGGCACGTAACGCTATTTGGCTCGGCGAATTCTTTCTGCCCGTGTGCCATCTCCCGTCGAGCTTAGAATGATACAAGTGAGTGACGATTTCGCACGGCTAGTTTGGTAGAACCTCAGCGTTGTGAAAACGTTCCAGGACGCAATCAACCAATGGCATATTGAAGACCATATTTTCTGAATAGCGATTTTTTGTCTAAAGCAGTCTGTTCCATTTAAAAGTACATGAATGGGTATGTGAGTTTATTCTATCTATCTCATGCTTGTTTCAATGTCTCCAAATGTGGAATATTTCCTTTAAGAGTACGGTAACCATACACTCTAAGGTGTGGGTACCGTGCTCTACCTAAGGTGCATTCTAAGGGCCGGGCATCCCAGTCTCTTGGGTCACCGAGCACGGTAACCATACACTCTAAGGTATGGGTGCCGTACTCTACCTAAGGTGCACTCTAAGGGCCTGGCATCCCAGCCGTGCCCTGCCTAAGGTGCACTCTAAGGGCCGGGCACCCCAGCCGTGCCCTGCCTAAGGTGCACTCTAAGGGCCGGGCACCCCAGCCGTGCCCTGCCTAAGGTGTACTCTAAGGGCCGGGCACCCCAGCCGTGCCCTGCCTAAGGTGCACTCTAAGGGCCGGGCACCCCAGCCGTGCCCAGCCTAAGGTGCACTCTAAGGGCCGGGCATCCCAGCCGTGCCCTGCCTAAGGTGCACTCTAAGGGCCGGGCACCCCAGTCTTTTGGGTCACCCGCCTCTTTCGCCGTAATTAATTTCACTAGAAGAGTTGAGCCTATCCAAAAATTGACCCGCTTTTTGAACGTTTGCGATTATGCCAATGGTGCTCGTTTCTACTGCAAGCGCTGAGCATGACTACGTGTGTCGGGGTTTATTTCTAGGTTTTCGAGACCGTCGTTGCGCGGCAGATGGCCGGGAAAAGGGACATTTTCTCCTTATTTCCGCGAAAACATTTGTTTCGTGTGCCGTCAATGCGCCCAGCCCAAGTCCGTCCTTACTCCGTTGGAATTACGGCCGCGATATCCTTTCTTATGCGAACTGGACAGTGCTCACCGGGAAATTCTTGCATTTTAGACGATATGTGTCATTTCACGTCCCTAAGAGCAGCGAGAAGCGTACGCACCTGTACGCAATTTGTTCATGGTCATCCAAAGTGGTGCATTTGTGTCTGGGTTCCACCAGAATTTCTGGTCGCTATGCCGTACATCTACGCCGGAGTTCACCAAATATACCGATTTCCTCAAAAGTGAAAGCAGTCATATCATAGAGAAGTTATTTCAGCAAATTGGTCGCGCATGTTTGGTCTTTGGAGATACCGTAATCCGATCACGTAGATCGCGGGCACGACAGGGCCGCCTTTCATACGGGGCAGGGCGGAGGTTCACTGCCGGCGGACAGCAGCCGGCGGCGGGCTGGGTCCGGGGCAAGGAGTGACGACGAGCGCTGCGAACATTGCCCGGCGGACGCTCCCTGAAGTTCGTCCTGGCAAGGTAGCAGTTGCGCTGGAGGTTTCACCCGCACGTGTAGCCGGCGGGACGGCCGGCGTGGTGAGCGACGCGTCCCGTGCCCACGCACCGCCCATGGACGCGACGTCCACGTCCGTCACCGCGTGGCAGCTGCACGTGCATACGCTTGGGCGCACACCTGGCTCACCGTCTTCCTGCCTGACGCATCGGTTAAATGCAGCTCCCTCGCCTGACGGGCATGGGCTGCAGCCGCTGGCAACGATAAGTCGTCCCAGACGCTGTTGCATAGCTGACCCTGTGGTATGCGGTGCGGTGACGGCGGACGAGACGGCGGTGCTGTGTAGCTGGTGGGGAGGTGAACTACTTCAGCTGCCGACGGGGTGGCAGCAGACTCAGACGCGTCAGCGGCCGACAGCGAGAGTGACGTCATCGTCCGAGCCCGTGCGGCAGTAACGTGACCTCTGCAGGCATGGGCGTGGGAACCGCGGATGGGAGGGGGGGGGGGGAAGAGAGGGCTGGACCCTTCACACAGGTCTGAAAATTTAGCATTAGCCCTATCGATGTTGATTAAAAATAAATGATAGATGACGTTTCTCACCCCCATACCCACTCCCACCACCCCAACCACCACCACCAACTAAACTAGAGAGAGCCACCTGTGCCCCTGACAGGAGCTGTACGCTGCGAGCCGGACCTTTCAAACACTGACGGGTTTCAGCCACTGACGGCTGTCAGCCACCGACGGCTGTCAGCCACTGACAGGTGCCCGGATTCGAGCTGACCTGCCCAGTGTCGCCGGGTGGCCGCACAGGCTGGCAGACCTCGGCGCAATGCCAGCAGGGGGGTCACGGCCCAATCTGCTGGTGCGTTGACCGCTCGCAGACCGAAGCGCTGATAACGTGGCGTCCGTTTGCCGCGGTGATCCGACAAAGCATGCTACGATTGCGGTGACTCTTCATGCATTAGAGCATGCGCGATGCTCCTGAAAGCTGGCGTCATTGAAGACCTTGCAATGCCTTGCTAATGACATGGCCTTGAACAACGCCCGACGCACGTGACTAGCCGACTTTGCTGCGTATGTGCCAGGATTGAACGCGGTCGGTGCGGAAATCAAACCAGAACGCTCTGCGGGGATGGCACTAGGGTTAGTCCTTGCTAAGGCTAGCTTGTCGCAAAGGACCTGCACTGTCGCAGCCGAGGAATTTGAGGCAGGGACAATGTTCATCACGGACACATTTTACCGCAGCCGTCTTGGACTCGCTCGTTTGACCAATTAATCGCCAGACCAGACTTTTGAATCATTAAAAGCCAGCTATAGAGCCAGATGTGTGGGACATGTACCAGCTTGCTTGTGATATATTGGTCAGAGTGGCCCACGTTCCATCAGCTGCAGGAACGACAGTCAGGCTTCAAGGTCTTAAGTTGAAAGATCTCATCCAACCCAATCTGCGTTGTTAGATAAACTACGCCATTCAGTATGCGTTCTTTTGACATATCCATGTATATGAAACCCTGTCTGAATAAGTAAAAGTAATTCCCGTAGATATTCAAAACAGTAATACCCTAGGCCAAACTTAGCACAAAACCGCAAACATGGAACACATGCACTCGCTGTTTCAAATCCCTGGACATGTCTTTGGGCCCAGGTGATCTTTGCAATCTAGTGCCTTACTCGGGACCCGACAACATGACTGCCCTAGTCGCTCATTGACCGTTCTAAGACACAAGTGCATGATATAATCAGGTGTAACGCTTAGCATCTTTGTGAGATAGAACATCTGGCTGCCTACTGGGCGCAGCGCATTTTGCCGCTTTGACCATCATTTTGACAAGTGGTTGATGTCACCCCTCTGAGCTTTTTTAAGGATACCTTTCCGGCATGTCGTGCAACTGCAACACATTTTCAGAAGCCTATGGGGCATCCATTGCGCGTGTTTCGACACCAAAAATGCATTCCTAGCTTTTCTAGTTTCGGAGCAGCGGCAGTTTTTTTTTAGGAATACTGCACAGAGATTCACGATACACTACTATGCCACGACAACTTTGAGACTCAATGGAATTCCCCCATGCCCGCTATGCTATGCTACACCGGCCATGTCAGTCAGTGTTAATAAAAAATATCCTGGCTTTTTTCTTTTCAAACTTAGTCCAAACGGTTTGTAGACATCGACAGCAGGTGTTGTCTGCAACAGTTCGGGACCACTCACATGCCATCAAATACATTGGCACGGTCACCTCAAATGATCCTGGAAACGCTTTCGCCTCCCGCCGACTGGCATGTACCAGGTCAAGGTCGGGTGTAATGCTGCAAAAAGCCAGCGGAAAAAGGGACCTTCCAATTTTGGAGGCCTTTTTCCTTGCCTTCCTGATTGTCGGAAGGGGTGTCCCTAGCAGGTGCGGGGGGCGGGCGGCAACCGGCGATGCCGCGTAACGCTCGCGGCGGGCCGCCATTGTCGCATCAACGCAGCCATATATCATAAATTTGTGTTCAAAACACAAAAGCATATACACCACTGTACTTAGAATTGAATAACAGGGAGCACGCCTAATTAAGTTTGTTGTCGACACAAGGTATAGTCTCGTAGGTACGATGTAAAGCCGAAAAATTGCGATTGTCTGGAATGTTTGATCTTTCTGATCTGCCACAATGGACTGAGTTAATGATCTAATACCACAAAAACCAGTACCAACCGCTGATCTCGCGGAGACTCATCCATTAGCGCTTTCTGCTAAGTTCTATCATCATTAATTTGGAAACGTCAGAGGGGTCGTATGAGCTCCCCGCCCTTATCAGCACGCGTTATGAGAGCATAAATGGGTG